CACATCGTATAAATATCCATTAACCATTCTAAATAAAGAAAACTCTAGTGTTGCTATGTGCAAGATCCTCTCTTGGGGCTTTTTTCCATAGCAATTAAAGGTGTGCTATTTGTCAGTAGCCATTTTTTGCAGTGATTTAAAGACCAAAGTTGTTTTACAGCTGTGTTACCGTTAAAGGTTTTTTTTATATGTATTAAATCAATCTATCACCGTTTGAAGCTTTGAATATCTGCAATCTTTGCCAAGATACTTTTTTATTTAAAAACATAACTTTGTAAATATTACCCTGTAATATTATATATACTTAATAAAACATTTTAAGCTATTTTGTTGGCTTATTTCTATTGCTGTTAAAGCAGACCACAAGCACCTTTCTAAGAAATTTAATTTATTGTATTTTCAGGTTGTCCATATTCTAGGTAACAATGCAAAGGATCAATTAAGATACTAATTTATAAATTAGTTTTTAAGGAAAATAACCAATAAGTAATCTTTTAACATATTAAAAACATTTTTTAATGTTTATTTTTATTTTTTTTAAATGTTTTATTTATTTCTAGGAGAGAGAGAGAGAGACAGCATGAGCAGGGGAGGGTCAGAGAGAGAGGGAGTCACAGACTGAAACAGGCTCCGGGCTCTGAGCTGACAGTCAGCACAGAGCCCGACGCGGGGCTCGAACCCACGAACCGCGAGATCATGACCTAAGCGAAAGTCGGACGCTTAACCGACTAAGCCACCCGGGCGCCCCTTTTAATGTTATTTTTGAGAGAGAGAGAGAGACAGAGTGCAAATGGGGGAGGGGCAGAGAGAGAAGGGTAGCCACAAAATCCAAAGGAGGCTCTAGGCTCTGAGCTGTCAGCACAGAGCCACACACAGGGTTCAAACCCACAAACCGTGAGATCATGACCTGTGCCAAAGTCAGACGCTTAACCGACTGAGCTACCCAGGCATCCCCCACCAATAAGTAATCTTTTAATTGGAGCAGAGTTTTAACTAAAAGTTTTAAACAAGTCCCTTGTGTTGTATTTTCCCATGGTCTATGCGAACATCCCATGAGAAAGCAAGAACCTGGGTTCCGGTCCCATCTATACTGCTAACTAGCAGAGAACTTGACAATCCCCACCCCGTGTTTCTGTGCCCTCCTCAACTGTAGAATGAGAGAAATCTCTTCCAAGACTGAAATGTAAATTAAAACGGTTCTCCATTTCAATTGTTTGTCAATTAGGACTGTTTTGATTACAAGTGAAAGAAAACTTGAAGATTCAGATGCACAGCTGGATACTGAGCCTCAAAAAAAAAACCCAAAACCAAACCAAAAAAACCCGGTGTCTTAAGAATCCAGTGTCCCGCCAGCTCTCCAGCTAGCTCTTGCCTACCTTCGTAGGTTGCACGTGATGGCAAAACAGCGGTTGCGATCCCAGACCCACCTTCTGCCAAGGTCAGGGAAGAGAAGGGAGGAAAAAAAGTGCACCTCTCTCTCTCTCTCAGAAGTCCCTTGCTCCCCAGTGCTCTGATGAGGTCTAGGCCTCCCTCACTCACCTCAGCCAGGCATCTCTCTCTGGTGCTCCCCCTGAGCTGGCCTGATTCCCATGTCTGGCCTGGAATGGAGACTGCGGGTGCCATCTGGGGTGGGGGTGGGGGCTGAGGGGAAGTAAACTTGAAGTCAAGTCGGGGGATTGTTACCAGGTGATGAGATGTCATTAGCTTTAGGAGCACAGCGCCACGTGCCTTACAGGTATGTACTCTAATTCTGCATTGTATGTGTGATTGTAGACTGTTTGAATGGAAAATAATATTTGGCGGCACGGTACCATCTCATTTCTTACCTCATAGGCAATTTAATTTTTTATGCATTTGTGAGGACTTTTTTTTTTGCTCTCAGCAGGAGTAACTAATGGAGTTGAGAAAGCATTTAAATGGCCTCCCTCCTGCACTGAAGGCTGCTTTGGGTAGCACAGGAACTGCACTCAACCCGATTAGGACTCCTACGGAGGTGTAGGCTTCCAGATGCAACTGGATTTCATTTTTGCACGGCGCCTTTCCAGCTCAAGGCTTCAAGTTTGACAGCTTTAGAAAATACTGGATTATGGTAACACCATCTATGTAGGACATGATTTCCCCAGAAGCTCAGAGATTTGAGCACACAAGACAGCATTGGTATTAGCAGTGAGGCCATGCCAGAACTCTACACCCAGTGTTTATTTTGCATATTGAAGCTTCATGCTCAAATCAGGGGGAAATCAAGTATTTAACCCTGGGTTATGGATAATTGGACTGATTGTTTAATGTTGAAGATAGCAGTACAGACTGCACAGAAGTGATGGTGGACCTAATAATTAGAACTCCACTTAGCGAGCACCCACCCCTGTAGTCAGCTGATTGACTAGAATGCAGGAGCCATACAGCTCTGAGAATAGCCCGCCTCCCTGTGAGGACCAGGTGTCTTTTCCCAACGGGGACAATGAGAAATGCTTCGTAAGCAGTATGCTTGGTAAGGAGCCCAATTTGGAGAGAAATGATTTAGAAGTCTAGAAACCGCAATCTGATGTCAGTCTTGATGCCAGGTTTGCAAAACTACTGCCTCCTTATAGATGTTGTCACACCATGGCATGGCCCAAGGCTCGGGATCCTCATCTTCACATAATCTTATTTGATCATAGACCGGCCTTCCAGAAAAGACAACTGTCGTTTTCCTAATTTCCTTTGAATTGCCTGCTAAATTCCTCAAGGTCAAACTGACAATATACATAAGCTGATGGACAATCTAAACACATGGATTGTTGGCAAAATTTAAGTGTAGTTTGCTTGAGATATCCAGTATATCTTCCATGGGAGCTCTCTACTTATTTACTCTTTAAGTATACAGTAACTTAGCAATTTAAGTATACATAACAGATTGTGTGGGGAGATATCTCTCATGCTGAGGGCAACTGGAAAGTACTAGAATCTTTGTTCTTGCTACACCTCATCCCCTACCAGTTGTAGGACTAGTTTCCCCACCACCTTGGGTGAGAGCTGTGTGGTGGCAGGCCTCCAGTCCTGACCCCCAGGAATGCTTCTCACTCTTTAGGGAATTTGCACCCCCAACTCAACCAGACATTTTTAGAATGTCATGTGCAGAAGCCCCATGTTGGCAAGCTAGAGGATGCATATACTTGGTTACCCAAAAAAACCTTTTTTACTGTAATGTTATCAAGTGTTCACTTCTCACAGTTGAATTGGTTGGGTACATACCTTGGATTTTTAAAAATATGATTATCCTCTATTCAATAGAGCCCATGTCTCCTCCTATCTTTAGCTACATACCTAGCTATCAACAGGGATTGTTCTGGTAGCAACTGTTACTAAATTGGAATAGAAAATATTACTGTGGGTCCTATGAAGGGATATATCTGAACACATCAAGTATCAGTTGTTCTTACTTTTGTTCAGAGAAAGTTGTCAGAAAATTATGGAATTTTTCTTTATGCTTGAAGCTCGTTGCTTTTAGCTGTTATGAGGCATTTATTCATTGCCTAAATTGTGAAGAAGATGACACAAAATGTTTAAGAGTGTTTTTTTTTTTAAGTTTATTTTTGAGAGAGAGAAAGAACACAAGGGGGGGGGGGAAGGGCAGAGAGAGAGAGACACACACACACAGAATCTGAAGCAGGCTCCAGGCTCTGAGCTGTCAGCACAGAGCCCGATGCGAAGCTCGAACCCACCAGCCGTGAGATCATGACCTGAGCCGAAGTCAGACGCTTAACAGACTGAGCCACCCAGGCGCCCTCAAGTTAAGTTTTTTGAAAAGCATCCCAATTAGTAAAAGTAAATGCTCCTGTATTATTTTTATATTTCTGACAAAGTATTAAATACAGTCTCCTGGAAAACATCTGGCTAACAGGCTTGATTTGAAGAATTACCAAACCTCACCCTTATGCTTTCTGACTGGGATCATTCTTCTTTGCTGTATGAACAGAGTAGACTCAGTAGAGAAACCAACAAATTCCCTCCTCAAAAGCACCTGGGACCCTCTGAAGGAGTCATCAGATACCAATGGGAAGGTCTCAACAGATTTTTCCTAAGTGATTGGAACCCCTGGGGGACCACTCAGTTGCTTTAACATGTGTTAATGAGACTGGTGATCCCCACCTGAGCCAGCTACTCATTTCTATGACTCCATCTAGTTCCTCAAAGGACTGAAGGCACGCCCCCGTTTGTGTTAGTTTCCCTTATGTAGAGAAAAGCTGCTCTCATGATCAGGAGCACTTGGGTGCTGTCACAAATCGACGCGGGTGTCCAATGGCGGGTAAACAGCTCCATGCAAAACCATGCCTCTAAATGCCTTGTTCAAAATAACCAGGCACAGAGGCCAAGAGATTAATTCATTCATATAAAAAACAATTCCTTATTTTTCCCCTGAAAGGCAAAACCACCACAATAATTCCTACTATATGTAGAAAACAAATTTATTTAAAAAAAAAAAAAAACAAAAACAGGAAAAAAACCAAATTCCTGAGTCAACAGATTCCAAGTGCCTGGATGCCGTCCAAATGAACCTGACAAGTGACACAGGCGTGGATGAAAACGACGTCTTAGGAGTCTGCCTTTTCTGGTCCTCCTGTGTATTTTTATTCTTCGTATTGGAGATAAAAATAAGGGTTGACTTCCCAAGGTGAGGAGAGAGAGAAAGCATCATGTGTTCTTCAAAAGACCCAACAAGATAATAGATTTTTTAAAAAAACTGTTGCTGAGTGTAATGTACTTAGAGTTTCAAAGGACTTTTTTTTTTTTTTTTAATAACATCTTTGCAAGCAATAGTAAAGAAATCAAGAACTCCCCTCCCCCCGCCCCCCAGGGTGACCAAAGTTAGAATCCTGTCAGGGATTTAAAATCTAATCATTAGCCTGAAAGTAAAGAAGAGAGAGCAGGGGCCAAGTGTCAGCCTGGAAGACAATAACAGCCATGGCAATGTTCCGTAGCCCAGGCATTAGTGCCTTAAAGGATAGTTCAGCATTTATTCTTACTCTTGAAAGAGAACCACAGAGGTTTCCGTTTTCCTGTTCGTAGTTTCTTTCTCTGTGGAGTAGAGAGGCTTCCTTTGCTTCTACACACCGTCCCATCCCAGCACCTGGTGGAACATGCACTTAGGGGAGAGACAGTGTGCAGAGTCAGAGGCCCCACACTCTGCACTTCACCAGCTGTGTGACCCTGTGCAAGTGAACTCACTTATCTGTGCCTTGGTGTCTTCATTTGCAAGATGAAGATGAAATGTGAAGGCTGAAAGAGAGCACGCATGGGAAGTACTCAGCACAGCACCTGACCCAATGGAGCACCCAGGAACCGTCAACTATTTCTCTTTTTCCTCTTATTATTTAAACACTGGCCAAGGAAGGGGAAATCTGGCATGACAGTCTAGAGATGAGTACGACGGAGAGTGGAATATGTATTTTGCTATGTGGGGCTATTGCCAAAGAAGCAAATAGAACATGACTGGGAGCATAAGACAATATGACAAGCGCAGTTACATCATTAGACATGTTCACTGCAAGCACAATTTCTTGTTAGGACTCCCTCTGGTTCCCTTAGTAAAACCAGAGCACAGGATGTGGGTGACATGAGAGAAAGGCACCAGGTCATCCTATTTCCCCTGTCCTGGAATGCAAAGATGGAAGAGAAAGATCTTGCCCCTATAGCACAGGGAGGGTCTTTGGAGCCCTACTTCTGCCACTTTTACTCAGCTCATCCATTTATGCATTCATGTCAGTGGCTGATTCTCAAGACTTCTCAAAATGTGTTAAGAGCAGGCCCTCCAATCACTCTAGATAAAGACTGAGATTAAGAACGTAGAGCTGCCTTTAGGCTAATAACCAGCAGAAACTAAATCCAAGTGTATAGGAGGAAAGATGAATGTTGAAAATATTGAGTTCTGGTAAATATTATTTCACAAATGCAAGGATGGTGGTCGGGGGATTTTGATAAGGCTTAGGTTATACTGTAATCAGCCCATTCTCTAAAATGATGAGAGTCTTTGCTCCATCCTGGGTGGATGTAGAAAGCAAAAAAGGCAGCTGGAGACATGCTGTGTATTGGAAGTAGCTTCTATTTGCTTCTTCTCTGCCTACTCATATGGCCACGGAGGATGCCCAGTTCAAGGGGGAATTAGATGCCAAGTGAGGCTGTGTGGCCTGTCCTTTGAGCAGAGTGCAGAAACCTGCTTTAGAGCGTGTTTGATTAGAAGCCCCAGATACATCAGAAGACCTGGTTTTCTATTAAGCCTTTAATGCTTACAATGTTATACACTCTCCATAGAGAGGGAATCTGAGCTGTCCTATGTCAATGTTTTAGTTCCTGACTCCTAACTTGGCAAGAGCTGTGTGGTGAATCAATATGTCACAGTCTGTTAAAAGATGCTTCGCTGTTTATGTTTGTTGAGTGTTTAGAAATGCAATAACTATACTGGAGTCTTTTCTTGGTCTGTCATCTGTTTCCGAAGGAACAGAAAGTGATGCAGAGGGCCAATCACAGTACCATAATTACACCAAAAAGTGGGTGCTAGTGTCCTCCATTAGGAGCATCGCTATTCCATGCTACCGGATGATAGACACCTCTCTCTCATTTCTTCCTCTAAACCAATCTCTCACTTCCTTCCACCCAAAATAAAAGTACAATGTGAATTGTGCCACTATCAATGTATTTTGGGGGGAAAGGATGTTCTGAGCCGTGAAGAATATAAATACATTGGTTCTATGCTGAAATTAACTGTGGAACCAGGAAGATAAACACAGCACAACTAATTGCATCCAAACAAGGTTAATAAGAATGATGTTCTATGGAAAGAAAAAATCCACACAATTAATGGAATTTAAGCAATATCTCAGTGAAACTAGTTAGTAAATATATATCTATAGGTTTAATTAAAAGTAAGACTAGTATGGCTTCTTACTGAGCTGCTTCAATTAAGAAAGTCTAATGTTAAGTGAGAAAAATCAACCCGGGACACCTTGTCATCTGCATTTAGTCAAGACTTCTGTGTCTCATACAAACTTTTAAGACAGGTCGCAGCAAGGGTGAATTTAGGAGTCTCATGTGAACTTCTTGCAGCTTGCAACTTACAGGTCTCCGCATATCCAGTTTGGACATAGAAATATCCAACGTGACTGTAAAGCCACTTCCCCTACCATTGCTCTGTGATTTTGATGAAAAGCTACCGTATCAGGCTAATAGAAGCAAAATTTATATTTACAGCTATAGCTAAAATTAGAAGTATGCTGTTTTTCTGATAATAAAAGCTTTACAGAAATGTTTCGCATTTACTTGAGGTTTTGCTTCTTTTCAACCCAATCTCCTGCAATGTTCGAGGAATCACAATATCCATTAAAGGTCCATTTTGAGTGGAAGACAGATTTTGGGAATTCCCACATGCTTTATCTAAATACCCTACCATGGTCCGTTTTAAGTTGTTTTCTCTCCACCTACTAAGAGCCCAAAGGGACATTTGAGTTCATCTTCTTTGCTGAAATCAGTGATGGCCACTCCTAGGTGATGGGGCAGTGAAGGGCCTCTACTGTAAGGGTCCTGAAGATTCCAGAGTGCAGGAGCAAAGAGGGGCAGGAGATCACCACGTCCGGTCCTTGAGCTATATGTCAGGCTTGTGTCTCCTCACTTGCCAGGAATGTTGCCAAGATGGGTGGATGGATAAGTGAGGTACCTGTCACATATCCCCGAGTTCTTGGAAGAAAGGTGTGACATATAAAGTCATTTCTTATGTCATGATTAATTATGCAAACTTCTTAGGGCACCTGGGTATCTCAGTCCATTGACATCCAACTTTGGTTCAGGTCACGCTCTCACGGTTTGTGAATTCAAACCCTACATTGGGCTCTGTGCTGACAGCTTGGAGCTCAGAGCCTGCTTTGGATTCTGTGTCTTGCTCTCTCTCTGCTCCTCCCCTGCTCACACTCTGTTTCTCTCTACTTCAAGAATAAATAAGCATTAAAAAATTGTTTAATTATGCAAACTTCTTTCTTCATCCCATGAGGTCTTTGTTCATCTCCCATGAAGGTCTCATCACCCACTTGCACTTCCACTCTAGGGAATAATGCATCAACAACTAATTATTGAGCACCTGCTTCATGTAGGCATCATGTGAGAGCCTGAGGATGCAGCCAGAATCAGACAGACAGACCTTATGAGCTAAGGTGGCTAATTTAGTCAGCTTCTTACTGTCTCTGAGCCTTGATTCCCCCAAAGGGTACATAGGTAAAGAATAAAAATTAAAAATAAGAATCCCACCTTCAAGACATGTTTTGAGAACTCTGTGAATAAGACCTACAAAGGTATTTAGCAAACTACAACCAGAGCTGAATTAATGTTACTTAGTCCTCCCAATCATAAGCAGTAAAAGAAATAAAATCTAAATCAATATATTTCCCAATTTCTTAAAAATTTTTCAAAAAGATTGTTGGATATAGTTGAAGCTCTTGATATTTTTTAAGTTTATTTGTTTGGAGAGAGAGAGTGGCCGGGGGCAGCAGAGAGAGAGGAAGAGAGAGAGTCCCAAGGAGGTTCCATGCTGTCGGTGCAAAGCCTGAGGAGGGGCTCGAACTCACATCAGACCATGACCCGAGCTGAAGTCAGATGCTTAACCAACAGAGCCACCCCAGGTGCCCCTGAAGCTCTTGATTTTTAAAAACGAGTGATTTCGGATCAAATAGGAGATTGCAGGATAGGAATCACAGGATGAACAGTTCTTTAGGCCACACACGCCCTCCAGGAAACCTTCCATCAGAGGACACAAACCCTCCGCCAGACTGAAAAGTGTGCAGGGGTGAGGCACTCTGAGATGAGGGTAGAGCAAGAGCCTGAGTTTGCCTCCCTGACCCACCCCTGGGAGCAGCTCTGGGAAAACCTGTGTAGACCCAGAGAAATGTCTCTTCCAGGCCTGTCCTCCTGCTGACTTTGCCTGGCATCATGGTCCAGTAAGTTTTGTGGGCATGGGTGACTCCAGATCCTGGTGACAAAATAACCAACACACCTTTCTTCTGGATGGATCTTGGGTGAATTTTGCCCACATGCAGAAACCCCTGTTCTCCTTCTGGCCTTCCTAAGTTTTCCCAGTCCCAGTTCTGAAGTTGGGCCATTTAGTCTGTTCCAATGTCCAGTTAACCTCTAGATAAGGCCTGGAGGGGCTAAGTGTCCATGGTGGGGGTGGCAATGGCCTGGTATAGTGGACAGAGTGTTGGACAATGAGGCAGGAAGCCTAGGAGCTCGCTTCTTACTTGTCACTGAGGAGCCTGGAGCTCCAGCAAGGTGGCTGGGCTTCCTGCATCTCAGTTTCTATATGCTTAAAATGGGGGGCTTGGCCTGGAGGCCTCCAGTGCTCACCCCAATGCTTTTGGCCTGTCATCGCTGACATAGAGTTGATCAGGAAAACTGGAAAGTGTTTCTTCCCTAAATATCCACCCAAGGAGAGGTCAAGAGGTGGCCTACAGAAAAAGCCGGTGCCCCAGTGACTACCTCAGGGAGACATAAAGACCCCAGGAAAGGGGTCTCTTCTCTGCTGAGAAAAGGAGACTGCCTCTCTGTCCAGGCTGCACCAGCCTCCCGGAATCTCCTGAGGCTACAAGGCCCAAGTCAAGGTCAAAGACATGGCCCTCCCAGTGGCTGAGGGTTCCAAACCCTCCCAGCTGCATGAGGAGGGTTATCAGGAATGCCAAATTTGGAGTAATTTGTCAAGAACCCTTCAACATTCAGCAGACTATGCAGAAGGTGGGATGCAACTGACCACAGGCAGGTGGGTTTTATTTGGTGCATACAAAGTGGTAAACAACATTTGCACCATTAAAAGAAAAGAAGAAAAAAAATCCCAGCAAACAAAAGGAGATTCTAGGCTTTAAAAAATCTGGATTTCCAGCTTCTGTTAAATAAAAAAAAAGGAGAAGATCTGGCCACCCTGGGCCCACATGCTCACCTCCCACAGATTAGCCAAGGCTACTAGCTTCTGCCCTCCTGGGGGGCAGGGAGACACACATTCCCTAGGTCTTCATAACTCCTTCCACAGCTGTTCCTTGAGCCTGTGTTTTACTATTTTGCTTGTAGTAGAGAAATAATTTCTCTGAGCTCATGAATCCACAAAAAGTGAGAAAATAAAACATACCCAGAGGACAATTTGCTTTATCAGCAAGTCAAGAACACATCTTTGTCGAAGTGCAGCATGTGGCTAGTGTTTTCTGTGCAATCCCCAGCACGCTCCACTCATTTGCATGGCCTGGCCTGGCTCTTAAAGGCATTTTATTCTTGTCCTCTCCTTGGAAAACTGGGAGGATGGAAATCTGCAGTCAGCCTGCAACTTTTGTCCAGCCCTTCCTCTTTCGGAGTTATTCAAGGTCATGGCAAGATTGCCTTGGCACATGATCTTGGCAGGAGTCCGGTTGTCCTTAGCCCTTGTTTGTTTCATCACCTGCCGCAGACTTAAACCTCATCTTAAGGCAGGTGGGAATTTGGCAAACTAATTTAGCTTCTTTGCTTGAAGTACTAATAACATGAATTTCCATTCTGATCTTCCATGTCTTTCAGACAGATGAGGAAACTCAGGCTCAGACAGGTAGGTAACTTGCTGAAAGGGTGGAATTCTAGCACCGGCTAGTCTAGAAGGGGTGTTGGGAGAAGCAGGTTTTCTTGCTCCTTTCTCTGGGGGGGAAGCAAGATGCCCTTCCCCACAAGCTCCTCCCCCCTCTCCCAGCACACACACTAGCCCTCAGGCTGTAAGCTGGCCAGCATCTCCCTGCCTCTCCCCAGGGTCACCCTCATCCAGCAGACGGGGAGGTGTGGGGAGGGGAGCCAGCTGGTACCTGCAGGCTGCAAGCCTGCTGCTTGTGGGGGAGCCACTCCAGCCACTGCCAAGCAAGCCCAACCATGAAGAGTGGGGGCCTGGAGTCCTCAGCAGAGCACCTGGCTACATGTGGACAAGGAGAGGCCAGAAGGTCTCCCAATTTTCCATGTAGGGTTGCCCAGTGCTACCTGGTTCCCAGCAGGGAGAGCAAGGGGAAAAGGGGAAATATTCATCTGAGCTCAGAAATGGAGCTGAGACCACTCTGCCAGGATGCAGAGAAGCAGGATCAGTAATATCATGAGACTTGGAGGGTATATAACATCCTAGAGAAAGAGCAATCCACTGCATTGGCACTGACGAGGCAAAAGTATGACCCTGACTGTGGATTGTAGGGGTCCTTTCTCCAGTCATACTCACTCAGTCCCTATTTGATATGCACCTACTATGGACTACGATGTGTCACTATATGCATAGTGATATGCATCTACTCTGCACCTGCTCTGTACTGAGCACTAGGTACCTAGACAGACAAACAGTTTCCCCAGTGTCCCTGGCTAAAGCCACACAATCCACAGGGGAGCATATTTGCTGAGTATGAGTGAGATCTGGAGAAAATCCTGCCAGAGTTCTGACGCTTCTGTGTCTAAAGTTCCTAGTCAGTGTAAAAACAATCAATTCAGCAGCTATGGAATGAATGTGTCCACTTAAATTCATATACTGAAGCTCTAATCCCAGTGTGATGGTATTTAGAGGCAGGGCCTTTGGGAGGTGAGTAGGGTTAGATTAGATAATGAGGGTGGGGCCCTCGTGATGAGATTAACTCCCTTATAAAAAGTGAAGGCAAAATCAGGAAGAGGGCTTTCACCAAATACAGAATCTGCCAGAACTTTGATCTTGGACTTCCCAGCCTCCAGAACCTTGAGAAATATACATATTTGTTGTTTAAGCCACCCAGTCTCTGGTATTTTCTTATAACAGTCCAAGCTGACTGAGACATTATGATAGGGAAAAAATAGGATAAAATGGTCAGAGAGGGAACGGATTGGAACCTGAGGTCCCTGGGTGGAGAAAGATGTATTTTGGAACAATGCTGGGAGTGTCTGACCACAGCAAGCCCCCTCAGGTTTAAGGTTCCTCTTAAGAATGTAACAGACACCACCTACTCCCCCTCAGGTTTCCTCAGGAATTTGACTAAAGACCTGTCTAAAAATACGTAGACCATAAAACATATGGCCCACAAGGAATGATGTGGCCATAGACCACGCCTCAAACAATGGAAACGAGCCAATCAGGAATGGACAGCCCAGCACCTAGAGTTATCAGGCCAATAAGGGTGGGACCTGAGAAGGAACCAGGGGGAAGGGAAGGGAAGGGGGAGGGGTGGACCAGAACCTTATAAAACAGGGACCCTTGCCTATTGTTGGCAGGCATTTACTTTCCAGTGTCCCCTCTCTGCAAAGAGTCGTTTCCTACAGCTCTTACTTTCTAATCTTGTATTCTAATAAACCTTTGCCTGCTGCTCATTTTGTGTCAAATCCCGGGTACTGCGGTAAAGAATCCTGCAACAACATGACCCAAACTCAATTCTTTGGCAATGAATCCAGAAATGATAGCTTTGCAGAATGACCAGTTAATGTTAGGTACCAGTCAAAAGACCACAAAAAAACTTTAATTCACGTATGTACTAATGGAGCCTGAACTGGGTTCCAGAAAAAATGGTAAGAACCTAAGTTTCTACTATGTCCTAACACTTTTATATATGTTGTTACTTCATTTAAATCTTAAAACACTCAACAGCGGGTTTCTCCAGTTTATTTTCTTCATGAGGTATGTGAGGCTCAGACAGGGTAAGAAACACACCCAAAGCCCCCCAGTTGGTAACTGATTCCTCCGGGTTTCAACCCAATTCTTTCTGGCTCAAAGCCCCAGCTCTGCTCTCTGCAGCTGTACCTGGAAAGGCTGTGCTGGAGAAACCTTTTTTTTGGTCTCAGACTGCTGAATTCACCTTGAATCGTTGGAAGCATTTAAACCAACTGCATAGTGTCTAAAGAGCATACCCATAGTTTACCTCTTGTGTCAGCATCTTCTTCCAGATGACTGAGGCTTGTTTGCTGGTGGTAAGACCAGATTAACCTATTTCAACTTGATGGCTGGATTCTGACACACTAAAAAGAGAGAAAGATCCTTAAAGGACAAAACCCACAGTTATCCTGAACACAATCATATTTTCTCTTAGGAAACCTTCAGGTTTTACAACCAAATATTTAGTAGAGACCCAAAAGGGGATAAGAACCACTCTTCTTTCTTTATTCTAAGAGACATAGTTTGGATACCCTGAAATCAAGGTGTGTCCTAAAATCAACATGTGATATTAATGGCATAGTCTTTTTTCTTCTCCCACACCCCAACTGAGCTCTGACCTGCAAGTCAGGAGAATTCAAAAGCTGCAGTCTAAACAATTGTGTATCTTAAAATCAGTGGCATCTTAGAAAAGAGGAAATATGAAGTCTGGCCAGAGGAACACTAATTGGTTCTTATATCCCCAATATTTTTTTTTTAATGTTTTATTTATTTCTAGGAGAGAGAGAGAGACAGCATGAGAAGGGGAGGGTCAGAGAGAGAGGGAGTCACAGACTGAAACAGGCTCCAGGCTCTGAGCTGGCAGTCAGCGCAGAGCCCGACGCGGGGCTCGAACCCACGAACTGCGAGATCATGACCCAAGCGAAAGTCGGACGCTTAACTGACTAAGCCACCCAGGCGCCCCTATCCCCAATATTTTGTGTGTACAATAGAATTTCAATATATGTTGTTAAAAGAACCAATACCTTAATAAAATAGGCATTGAATTTTTTCAGATTTAAATTTTTTTTAAATGTTTATTTATTTTTGAGAAAGAGATGGTGGGTGAGCGGGCAGAGAGAGAAGGAGGCAGAGGGTTTGAAGCAGGCTCCTCGCTGAGAGTGGAGAGCCCATTGTGGGGCTTGAACTCATGAACCATGAGATCATGACCTTAAGCAAAGTCAGATGCTTAACCGATGAGCCACCCAGGTGCCCCTTAAGATTTTATTTTTAAGTAATCTCCATAACACCTAATGTGGGGCTCAAACTCACAACCCTAAGAGCAGGAGTTGCACGCTCCACTGACTGAGACAGCCAGGTGCCCTGGAACTGAATTTTTTTTAATTGGAAATATTTCAAACATATGATAAAGTATAGAGTGTATCATAATGAACTCTCATCACCCAGCTTCACAAGTTTCAACTTCTGGTTGATCCTGTTTCCTGCTCTGCTCCCTCCCTGCCCCACATTGTTCTGAAGGAATTCCCAGATGCCAGGGCATTTCGTTGCTACATGTCCCCACATGTATCTATAAAAGACAAAGCCTATCCTTTTTAAAACCAATGATGATGGCATTATCACCGCTCTCTAACAATCATCAGACCTTCAAATCAATACTAAGAAGGCCTTACTATTATCAACTAGCCATTCAGTATTCATATTCCCCTGATTATCTTATACATAGTCCCCCCTTGTACTTGCTCTCACTCTCTCTCTTTTTTATTTCTTCATATTTCCTTTGCTCAGGATCCAAATAAAGTGCATACTCTTCTTTCCTATTTGCTGTGTTGTTGTTGTTGTTGAAGGGACCAGTTCTCTTTGTTGGGTAGTTTCCCACGGTTTGGATTCTGCTGATCACACCCTCTTGACGTTGTTTAACTTGTTTCCTTCTCTTCTATATTTCCTGTAAAGAAGTACTAAGAGTGAGAGGTTTGCGCAAACTTAGGGTTTTTTTTTCCTGTTTTTTTTTTTTTTTTTAAATAATTGAATGAGGAGGTATATAATGCCTGGTTGTCTCTGTCTTTAGATATTATTAGCTGTTAGTGATCATAACATTAGGTCATAACCAACATTTTGGAAATGGCTTCCATTTACTACAACTACCTCAAAAATATTCCGTAAAAAATAATGAGTCTGAGATGCTGGATATGCTACTACCTGTTCAGTCTTAGGTCCTTTTGTTTTTCCATGTTTGTTTATTTATTCTGATAGAGAAAGAGAGTTAGCATGAGTGGGGGAGGGGCAGAGAGGGAGAGAATCTTTTCTTTTTTTTTTTTTTTTTTTGAGAGAGAGAGAGAGTGCATGTGGGGTAGGTCAGAGAGAGAGGGAGACAGAATCTGAAGCAGGCTCCACACTGTCAGCGCAAAGCCCAACATGCTGCTCTTACCTACCAATCTTAAGATCGTGACCTGAGCTGAAATCAAGAGTTAGCCATTAGCCAACTGAGCCACCCAGGCAGCCTAGTCTTATAGATCATTTTGATTACAAGGAAAAGCAATTCCTTTGGGTTGGCCCAAATAACAGGAGCACTGTCGTTTCTGGTCATGTGAGAGTCCAATACCCAGGCAACTTTCTCTTAACAAAACAGCATTATGGAAACTTGTGTTTCAGTGTTTTAAAAATGGGGAGAGGGATGGAAATCACAAGAATCACTATAATGAAATGACTATGTATAAAGTACAGAGCTAAGTTACTTAAACGTTCACATAAAAAAGCCGCATGGGACTCCATCTGGCTCTTGCTCAAGAATTATGTCATAGGCCATCACCTACACATTTCCTCACCTCAGCAGAGCAAAGGGGTTGAGACTCTTAAGCAAGAGGTTCCCCCCTGTGCCCGCATGATCTACTTCTGTATTGGTCTTAAGAGTCTGCAGACGTCTCCTAGTTAATCGAGTCCTGTGCTGTTCGATTTATCATATGGAACTCACGTGTACACACACAGCAATAAGAAGCATCGGGATCTTACAGGCATGCAGGTGAAGAGCCAAGCGTGTGAGCAGACCTCCCAGGGGCATCGGCTGGATCTGGGGCAGATACAGGGACCAGAGTAGCTCCCTGCTCTGCGTGTTCAGTTCTTCTTGGCTCTGTGCACTTCTCTTGCCAGTATAGATGGGCTTCATTAGACTTTACTCTGCAAATCTCTGTGGCTGAGATAGGCATTAGAATGCCCAATACACACAGCAGACACTTTCAAACTTTTTTGACCACCATTTAATACACTTTTATCGTGGCCAAGTACACACAGACATGCACGTATGTAGGTGAGTATATGCTGTGATTTAGATATGTAAATGCACACACATTCACACATGCATATAATCATTCATACTCAAGCTTCACACACTATCACCCTTGCTTTGTGCAAGATATTCTGATTTTTTAAATCCTATGCCTTTGTTTAAAAAATGCTGCGCGTGGCCCACCACATTTATTTCAAAACCCACTGATGGTTCATAACTTTCATCTTGAAAACTATACCCTACAGTGAAGGTGGAAATCAAAGGGTGTGACACTAAAGTTCTTGGAAACTAGACTGATTTCAAATGTAAGAATTAAGACTCTTAAGAGACTGGAATATCATTACACTGTGAATTGGATCAGAAGCTAGAGCGTGTTTATGTCAGTCACGTAACAGGACGCTACTGTTTCAAACTCAGGTGATCAGACAGCTCTTTGGTTGTCACTTGTGATTAGGCTGATTCAGGCAGTGAGTCTGTCAGGGAGAGGAACCCACCGCCCCTGCATGCGTCTGGAGCCCAGCTTCTCCTATGGCTTCTGTGATGGATCTGCACTTCTAAACAATAACTATCCATCACATGAACCCAATTCTATTGTTCTAGCTCGACAAGGCACACAGTGCTCTCTGGAGCCACAAAGGGGAGAAAATATTCCTTCCAGTATTCCTGCATGATAAATTCTTCCACCTCTACATAAAACCTTGCTTATAGGGCTTGTCTTTTTGGCTTTTTTAATGTCCCGACTATGACAGGAGAACTGACTTGAAGAGCAATAGCACTGCTGTGCACCCAACTCACACTGCCTTACATTGCTTACCTCTTTCCTTAGAAAGAATTCCCAGCCGGGGGGAAAAAAGGAAAAGAGGAAAAGAAAATCCACACAATATCAGTAAGTTTACCCTTGAGATTAAGTCACTTTCTTAGATGGTGTTTTCACAACATAAATATTTCAGGCATTCTGCTTAGATTTTAAGATGTTTTGGCAGAAATCAAATTTCCCTCCAGCTTTTATTCAGCACCACCTTCTAACATGCGCACGCGCACGTGCGCACGCGCGCGCACACACACACACACACACACACACACACATTCAGGAACCGATTTCTATTGCAGGGTTAATTTCTCATTTCCTAGGAGCAAGGAGCTCTTTCTCCAGATTATGATCAACTTAGAGGTGTTAGTGTATGAGTTTAATAATATTTTTGGTAACTGGAAAGGCGGAAATAACCCACGAGTCATGAGATTATTCTGATGTTTGTTTATCTTGAACTAAATTTGCAGGGAAATAAAATCACTCTGGCAGCTAAAACTGCACACTCACATTCTTTTGTATGAATTAATTATACTTAACTGCTCTGTAATGTCCTGATTAATTATTTCCTGTTCCAGTTGCTTGATTGTGCATTTTTGAAACAAAACCTGCATCATGATGAGAATCTTGGACCTATTTCTCATGTTGCTTGAGGCTCCCATAGAGCTGATCTGAACAAGTAGCTGCAGAGGAAGCCAGTGTCTTCATCAGCACCCTAGGAGGACTGAGTCAGCACAGGCAAGGACAGTGCAACTGTATTTTGGACCCAGGGCATGGGACCACCACTTACACATAGGCAGCAGCAAGATGGAGGTTTTAATGCTACCCTATTTGTGAGAAGCATACTGTCACCCTATATAGCCACTGGGTACTTGGCTTTCACCAACAGACTCTCTGATGTGTTCTGAGTGATGGGGCTGTAGGAAGGAAAACTTTTCCCATCTTCTCTTTAGGTTCTTTGTCTGGTCTAATAATTAAACTGGCAGATTAACAGGAGGGGGAAAACGTTAATTTCATATGTATGGGAACCCCAGAGATATGAGGCTCTTATCATCAAGTAGTTGAGACTTGTATACAGTTTGAACTGAGGAAAAGGCGGTAAGGGTCTGGGACTTCACAGGGGAGGAAGACAATTTGCAGAAAGCTGGGAAAAGCAAATGCTTGGTCCACACATATTTGCATGCCATGCAGATATAAAAAAGTTATCTCAGGGCGCCTGGTTGGCTCAGTTGGTTAAACATCCAACTTCAACTTAGGTCATGATCTCGTGGTCTGTGAATTCAAGCCCACATCAGGCTCTGTGCTGACAGATCAGAACCTGGAGCCTGATTCGGACTCTGTCTGTCTGTCTCTCTCAAGTAAATAAACATTTAAAAAAATTATCTTTGGGAACACCTGGGTGACTCAATTAGTTAAGCTCCAGATTCTTGGTTTTGGCTCAGGTCATGATCTCACAGTTCATGAATTTGAGCCCTGCACTGGGCTCTGTGCTGTCAGTGCATGCCTCACTTCTTGGAATTCTCTCTCTCCCTCTCTCTCTCCCTCCCTCCCCTGCTGGCACTTTCTCTCTCTCTCTCTCTCTCTCTCTCTCTCAAGATAAATAAACTTAAAAAAAAAGTTATCTTTGGAAATAGCTCTCTTCCTGGTACAGGTCCTCTATCTAAATTCTTTTAAGCAATTAAGGGAGAGGTGAAAGAAGAAAGAAAGAAAGAAAGAAAGAAAGAAAGAAAGAAAGAAAGAAAGAGAGAGGAGAGGAGAGGAGAGGAGAGGAGAGGAGAGGAGAGGAGAGGAAGAAAGAAAGGGAAGAAGGGAAGTAGGGAGGGAAGAAGGATGAGAGGGAGGTAGAAAGAGAAAAATCCAGCTCTTTCTGAGTCTGTTAGGACTTGATTGCTTTCAGCTCAAAATAGTCCACATGCCAAAAGTGGTGTATTGTGGAGTTGCATATTCTGCTCTATCTCAGGGCTCCATCTCAGGGCTCTAGAAAGTAGGAGAAACATTGCCAGATAGGGCCTGGAGACAAGGAAAGGTGAGTATACCAGTTTCTCGTTGCTGCTACAACAAACGACCGCACCCTCAGTGGTGTCACACACACAGCACAAGCTTATTATCTTACAGTTCTGCATGTCAGAAATCCTAGTATCAAGATGTCAGCAAGGCTGTGTCTCTCCTAAAGCCTCCATGGGACAGTCCTTCCTTGCCTTTTCCAGCTTCTAGAGGCTGCTACCCTCCGTAGCTGGAGTAGAATCTCCCACCTCTCCCTTTCTCTGACTCCTTGCTTCCTTCAGTGCATTTCTTTCTCTCCCTTCCCTGGCCTCCTATCTTCCCTATAAGGCCCCTTGCAATTACACTGGGTTTGGATAACCCCCAGCAATCCCCAGCCGTCCTCTCAAACCCCCGTCTCAAAATCAATCGTGTCAGTCCCTTGGCCGTGTGAGGTACATGGTGACATGGCCATCTCTGGGAGGGTCTATGCCTCTGCCTTTCACACCGAGTATCTAGACCGAGAAAAAGCCCGGCCTTCACAGGCACCCACAAGAGTGTAGATCCAAAGTCAGTGGGTGTGAGTTCTTTTCATGAAAGGGTGACTTAAACTGTACCCCAAAACTAACCTGCTTTTCACCTGATTAAGGCTGATTTGCATTCAGCTTGTCCTAACACCACAGACTGTTGTCCTGTTACTACAGTAATCCAAGATACTAAATTGGCTCGTAAATGTGCACTGAGGACCACAGAAAGGTGACACTGAGAACTTGAACAATGGGAGGAGCCGAGAGTTAAATTACTGAAACCTGCGTGAAAGGCTGATTGTATAAAGTTATGTAGTACATGGGTTAATCCCAAGC